AAAATAAAATATCCGCTTTTGAGTTGAATTGCTATAGAAATGGGTGCCGCGTTAGCGCAATCGATAAGAGACGCTCGCTTTCAAATCCATGTGACTCGCTGCAGCCCAAGGTCGGTGTTCGAAACCGGGCGGCTCCCGGGGTTCACCCAGCCTTTAGGAAATGGGTGCCAGAGTGATACTGTGGGGTAAATGGAGGAATGTCGCTGTAGCTAGAGAGTTACGTGCGAACGGCGACACAGACGGACAATTCTTATCAGCTGTCCGTACTGGTGGCAGAGCACTTATGGTTTATAACCGTGTGCAATGACGCTGGTTCACATATCCCGACCTTACCTTTACCTTTATATATATATATATATATATATATATATATATATATATATATATATATATATATATATATATATATATATATATAACACATCCAAAATATTTCAGATTCCGAGACAAGATGCTATTTATTAGCCAATCTTCTGTGATGTTTAGATCTATATATGTCTATATATAGAGACAGAGACAGTTAGAGAGAGAGAAAGAGAGAGAGAGGGGGAGAAAGAGAGAGAGAGAGAGACGCTATTATCCTGTTAATCTTATACTTCCTTGGTTTTCACGTGGCTAAACATAGGCTTCCTTTAGTGAGAATAAAGGAGAACTGGCTCATAAACAGCATCCAGTCACGGAAACCTATGTATTTTGGTCCTGTCTATAACATCGTGGTGGCCTGGAGAGAATGGTGATGGATGGTACAGTTAACGGAAAATGAGGCAGAGGAGGAAATGCGGATACAAGACATTAAAGATGCATTAGTTAAGAAAGCTCATAGGTCTAGAGAACTGGCTAGAGACAGAGAGACGTTCAGTCGTACCGTGATGAGAGCGACGTTCTGTAAGGAGCTGCTGATGGACAGTGTTGACGTCTAATTTCTCTAATGAGGCACCTGGGTGTAACCAGAGGGTCTGACCGGCTCACTACACTCAGGGGAACAGCAAGACGGACATATAACCAGATTGTGACCGGTGCCATCAGTATTGGAACTCTGCGCTGGCTGCTGAAGATAAATACGGCGCACGCATGGGAATGCCCCGAGTGCTGTTATGTCAATTCTTGACTCAACTCAATTCAACTCTAATTTTTCAAATCCATTTACAACTTTCATCTGTCTTGAGTCGGTCTGCTTGGTGCATTTTTCTATCGCTCCATAATATTCTTTGCAATTTTTCTAAAAAATCCGTCCGCCACGAGTAAATAGTTTTTACCTCATGCTCCATGCCTCCATCATCAGTTTCCACTTCTGCCGCTAAGTGTTGTGGGTAGTAACAGTTTGCGATCCATTGCTTGATAGGCAGCAGTGGCTATTATCGTTCTGTTTGGATGTAGAATCTCTTTATTGTCATCAGTCCATCTTCTCCTAGAGCGGCTTGTTGATTTCACTTCAGATCTTTTCATGTGTAGCATCTGTGTTGGTAGTTGTCGGTCCACAGTTTAATTTAATATGACTAACATGCAAATGTCGGCATCTGCGGCTTGGGCGTTACGAACACGCTTCGTAATGCCGGGGTTTCGGGTTCGTTCACAGTTGCCGGCCTTGCGCCTTGCGTTGGTTTTGACAGTGAAAGCCGATCGTCCAGAAAGCATTGGCAAACTACTTGACGTAAATTTGCAGATAGAAACCACAACAGCCAAAAAATGCCGGGGTTGGTTCTGCAGTGACATGAAAAGTATACGCAATTAACCTTTAACATGCATAAAGTAACATAGGCTCTAAACAATTCTTTTCCTCACTGTACGTGACATCGTCTTATGACTGACTGTGTTTTGCTTCTAGATAAAGGCCACTTTTTCCATGACCAACTATTGGGAAACAAAACTACGGATGAAAGAAGCAGCAATTGACATTATTCCACTGTGAACATTCCCCTGCGTGCTTTCTCGCCATTATCTTTAATGCCACAGGCAGAATTCGCCTTCATGGTTGTGTGTACAATTGACATACAGTGCACGGTGAAGGGTGTATGACAGTGACGACCTGCAAACTGTCCCTGCATAGAACGATACTTACTTTGCCCCTGAATGTGACGATAATGGAAACAAGCTTCATTGCGAGAACTGATCAATAAATATTCACGAAAATACAGGTAACAGGTTCAGGAACTACCAATCAGAAGTGAGCTTGTGCGGGAAGATCAACGTAACTTTTATCCAGATGGGTTCACTCTGCTGTCTAGTATTAGTTAAATGACGCAATCGTCCTCCTTTTCTTCAGCATTCTGAGCCCATGAGGTCCTTTAACTTTTGCAGATATCACCCGCCTTCACATAATTTTCTCACTGGACTGACTAGCTGTGTCTTTCCAGTTGGTGACTTTAAGAATCAACAGATCTGCTTGCATGTGATCTCTCCACGCTTTTCTTGGTCTGCCTCGTGTTCTACTCCCATTCAACTATGTTGCGTATGCAGTGGAGTTCTCTCTCTCTCTCTCTCTCTCTCTCTCTCTCTCTCTCTCTCTCCCCCCCCCTCCCCCATCTGTTACTCTCGCTATACGCAATAACCATCGCAGTCTATCCACGTGTTGCTAGTAAAAATCAAAAAATCAAAACTTAAAAACGTTTTAATTCTGCTATTTCTTGTTTTCAGTTACACCGGAAGAGACAATACGTAAGTTATCCTTTCAGTGTTTGCCTGTTGAAACTTTCTCCGTTGACCAGGTTTCGGTTGAGAACGTTTTTTCTACAGTCTGTTTCAAACGTTGTGCCCTCACTCTTAAAAAAATATCGAAAACTCCTATACGAATCAACAGGCATTTTCCCATGATTTTCCATCTACTTATAATTTTATAATTTACAATTGCACAGGTGCTGCTGTTTTCTGAAAGCAGCGAATTTCTTTGATCTTATTTTGTCTAATTATGTGTGTGCCCCTAAAAAAATCGAATTTAGTCCTACTGATACACGCGTTTAGGTCGTTTGGAAATCATTTCAATGTGCAGCGTTGTGTGGGGATTATTTTAATAGCCTAACCTGTACACAATGAAAATGCAACTCAGGGGAGGCTAATACTGGAGATGACTACCTGAGAGTGAAACTCACACGAAATGCGTGTGCAGTTTGTTGTTTTAAAAAGTCCCCGTTTGCTCAGATATCTGTAAGTCCGCTGACTGTTTGGTTTGAACCAGTGTATATTCTTCATATACCGCGAATAAGGCAAAATGAAGACAACATACAGATGAAAATATTTTTAAAGAGATGTCTGAGAATGTCTGTGAATAAAATCAAAGGAAATCGAGTGAGAAATGCCGTGGTTACAAGAACTGTTGAACAACACCCATCGTCAAATTTATTGAGAAACAAAGAATGACATGGGTTGGCCATCTACTGAGAAGGAAACCAACGATGCCAGCAGCAAGAGCGTGGAACCTGAAAATCGAAACACCAAGACGCAGGGGAAGACCGAGAAAAACATGGACTGAAGAAGTCACAGACACCTTGAGACTGCATAACATCACGGGATATGAACTGTCCATAAGCAGATTTTGACAAAAGAAAGAAGAAGAAAACAACATAAAAGTAAAGGACCCTTTTCCACGCCATCAGACGTATAGGGCATATAGGGCTAGATCTATATTTTTATAGACCAATCGGCACATATGGGTGATGTGGTGGTCAGCATCACGCGGCCGCCTTTACTTTCCCGGGACTGCACCCGGTACCCACTCAAGGCTGGGTCGACCTGGGAGCCAAGGTCATTTTTGAAAAAAGTCTGGCTCCGCCAGGGAGCGAACCCACGACCTTCCGATCAGCGACGAGCGTCTTGCCGCTCGGCCACGGCGACTTCCAGAAAACAACGTGCTTTTTAAAAATTTAAAACATTTCTCACAATGACATGACTTCATCAGGTTGTAGGTCAAATTTCAACAATATACACAGAAAGGTAGCTGAGTTACCTGTTTTTCAAGTTGAGCACAACTTCTGTAACTGACTATAGGATGACCTCTGAGAGATCTAGACAGGTGTTGAGCAGTATGAGCCCTCGTCATAGAGCGCCGTCACATATAGTTTCAACACCTCCGCATCCCATAATTTTTTGTAAACTTTCTTGGTTCCCTTACAATTTCATTTATTGTTTTCATTTTATTTTGCCGTGGATATTCTAATCACTTGCTGTATTGTAGGAATGAAAAATGCATGAAATGTATTTTGGTGGTTGCCAGGTTTATTTGATATACACTGACCAAGACTTAAATATACAAAAGGCAAAAGGAGCTTTTATTACACTAGGAATTTATGGAGGTAACAAGAAATTAAAACTAATACTGAACTTAAAACTTTAAATTATAATGTTAAATAAGTACTGTTGTGTGGAGCGGAAATATGGAGAACAATAAAGGCAATTATAGATATATATAAAAAAATATTACAAACATTAACTAACTGGTGACTGTGCAGAATAAAGGGAATTAAATAGTATGATAGAGTACCAAACAAGTTTCAGTGGACCAAGAGGTGGAGAAAAGACGATGGCGTTGAACGGACACACGTTGAGAAGACCTGAGAACAATACAACTACAATGTCTTTGCATGCACTGGACCCTACAGGGGCATAGAAATAAATGGAATTCCAAATAACACGCTGAGAAGCGAGCTAGTGAGTGATGTTAACTAGATAGGGGAGGACATGGGGAGAGTTGCATGCGATAGCGAAGGATAGAACGACTTGGTGTGTGTTGGTTGAAAATATATACTCAATTGCAACATAGAAAGGCAGAAGAAGAAGAAGACTTAAATAAAAGAAGACACTTGATGTAATATTTGAGACATGTGCAGAATAGTCAGTAGTACATTATTCGAAGTTTCAAACTGAAAGTGCTAAAAAAAATTGTTTTAATGTTGTTTTTTTTTTTAGCGCCTAAATGTCCGAACACTGTAGCTGACATTATTTTCATCCTGGATTCATCGAATATTGGATCTCAGAACTACCAAACGAAGTTAAACCTGGCCGTCAATATGACGAGTATGTTCACTGTCTCACCCAAGTTTGTCCAGGTTGGAGCAGTGCTGGTCAGCACGAAACCTAAAACGGCCTTTAATCTCAACACGTACTCAAGCGGCAGTGCTGTTGCTAAGGTAAATTCGTCAGTGGGGATGAATCAGTTTATATATGGACATTTCTGGGGGGTTTTATGTGTGTGTGTGTGGTTAAAATGTTGACTGATTGGTAGGGTGGTTGGTTGTTTATTTGGCTGACTATTTCGTAAATAGGTTGGTTGCTTGATCGGTTAGTTGTGTAACATGCTTATGGCAGCCTTTATAAATTGAGTTTGATTGCACTTGCGGAAAAAACCTGGCAGTTCACGGAGTCGCGGTAACTATAAAAAGACTGAGAAACCCGGAAAACGTCTATTTGGCTGTCCACATTTTGATTACATAGGCTGAAACAGCGTGGGTGCCGGCGACTGAGCGGAGATGGTTGGGATTGTCTGACTGATTACGGCACTTTTATGTTTCCATAGTTAAATCTGAATTTGTCCCAAGTAGTTAAACTATGTAGAGTTACATACCAGTTTGTATCATCGCTTGGGGATATTTGTTTTCAGATCCATTGAAGAGAACTTTCACTTGTGTTAGTTGTAGTGCTTATCACATGTCTGTGTGAACACAAGGCTGGTTGCTAATGTAGTGTATTATCTGTGAAGCGCTTAGTTTTATGTTCAGTAAAATAAACAGATGTTTAATGTGATATTTATAGTTCCAGTGGTTTTGATTTGGGCTAGGACTTGTAATTAGTGTGCTTAGTTTTACAGTCACAGCTTTTTAAACTTCATTCAGAATATCTCCTGTCAGGGCTAAAACACGTTTGGTCTTAGTCTTCGCGTAACCAACTTTTTTTTTCTCGTTATTGAGGCAGCTCTAGTGTCAGTTTGGCTCTTACTCACCACGATAATACTTGATGGTGCTCTTGTAGGCCTGGAGTAGAGATAGTTTCAAGGAGTAGATTTTTATATTATCCTTCATATTATATCCTCCTTTTCCTCTAATACAATAGCCCCTTAGGTGTTGCTTCTAGTAGTTTGTTGGCTATTTGGCTGACAGCTTAGCTCTTCTGTAGGTGGATTAATTATTTCTCCACACGACGATTGGTTGTTTGGTTGATTAGTAGGTTAACTGGTTGGGTTATAGGTTGGTTGGGTGAACGACTGATTGGTTGGCTGAATGACTGACTGGTTGTTTTGTTGATTGGTTGGTTAATTGATTAGTTGTTAACTGGTGGGTTGGTTATTTGGCTGGGTTATATGACGGTTTACTGATTGTTTGGTTGGCTTATTCGTAAGTAAATTGGCTGCTTTGTCTGTTAGTTGATTGGCTAATTTGTTGGCAGCTTGGTTGTTTGAGAGGTAGATTAGTTATTGCCTGACTGGATGATTGGTTGGTTGGTTGAATGACAGATTGGTTGGTTGGTTAAATGATTGGTTGTTAAGTGATAGGCTGATAGGTTGGCTGGGTTATATGATGGTTGATTAGTTGGTTGGTAGCATTTTTGATTAGCTAGTATGTTGTTTCGTTAGTTTGTTGGCTGGCTGACTATCAGTATACTATGCTCCACTACATTTTATAATAAGTTACAATACTATACTTCACTTTACTACGTTACGATGAGCTACAAATAATTTACAATACCATACAATACTATGCAATACTATGCTATACTACACTATACTATACTATGCTATGCTATACAATTCTATATTATACTACACAACATAACACTATACTTTACCATACTAAGTTAATACCATCAAACAGGCTTTAAGAGAAGCAGAATATCTGAAAGGCAACAAAGAGTTAGACGACGCCATTGAGTCTATAATCACCCAGGGCTTGTACACGACAGCAAAGGGAGGGAGAGACAGGGCGGCCCGCATTGCTGTTATCTTGATCGATGGCCCGCCCACCGACTGGGCCAGAAGTAAGTAAGAGAATGGCAGTGGCGAGGGATGCGTGTAATCGTTGCTTACACTGTACATTCATCATCGTCATAATCATCATCTTTATTATCATCATCATCCTCCCGTAACACTGTATGTCGTTTAGTCACCAGCTGTTGACTGTCCGACACTGTACATTGCAATAATGAAAAATCATTTTTCTATTTATAATTACTGTTTACTACGTATTACAAATACGCCGCTCTCTTTGTGTCACGAAACAGAGCCAAAAGAAATCTAGTAATCTGGTAATCTTAGTTTCAGCTTCATAGCAAACGGGTAACTTCATAGTTGCTCCGCTCCTGTGCCAACGAAAAACACACACAATGTTTATCACATTTCAAATGAAATCCGCAGCTCACAGTGTCACGCCATGCACTCAACCCAGAAGCTGGGCAACGAAACTGTATCCTTTCAGTCTACAACTGGAGCAAAAAATGCAACGGCTACCGTCTGGCAGAAGCAAAAAAATTTGCCACGGCTAAAATAAGTGGCCATGCCTAGCGTCCATTTTGACCTGAAGCATTATGTGAGAGTTATTAAACGGTCACCCTAGCCAAAAAAAAAAAAAAAAAAAGCTCGCTGCATGCTTACATCACTCATACATAAACTGTAACGTGCGTAAGCTACCAGTTATTTGGTATTACAATGCTAGCTGCTACCGCATGTTCTAAACAGCCAAGCAACAAGGAGGAAAATATCACGCAATTACTCCAGTGTAACCTTTACCTGCTGATGCTTACATTTGAGACCTTTTCCCGCTTGCCATTGAACAACTGTGGTGCGTTCGAAAGAAGTGTGGAATAGTGCAGTGTGTACCTAGCTCAGTGAGTAGACAGTCCTGAAAGGGAAAGACTAAAGTAAAGTACAATATTTAACGTACACAATTTTTTAGTGTTCTTGATGACATTCATTTATCTTACAGTGGTGCACAAATTATACTCTTACTTGTACAAACAGACAGACAGATATACATAAGTTAGACAGACATACACACCGACAGACAGAAGTTTAACAGACAGATAGAGACAGACGCTCGGACGGACAGTCAGACACGGAAATTCAACAAAACCCTGAAGCCTGACGACTAATTGAGCCTTCATATCTGCAGCTCTACCGCTTGCCAAGAGGCTCAGGAATGAAGGCGTTCGAGTGGTCACCATCGGTATAGGAAACATCCAAATGAAGAAGCTAACCGGGCTGTCCGGGAACACAGAATATGTCTTCGCTTCCCCATCCTATGAGCTACTGAAGTTCACTAAAGAGCTTATGTATCAAACACTATGTGAAGGTTTGTTTCCATCAAATGATGTTGTATCTTCTGTCTCCTATCCTTGTCTTTATAGTCTGTCTGACGTAATTATTGGTTCTGAAGTGATTTCCCCTTTTCCTGGTATGTCTGCAGTATGTCCACATGCTCAGATTTCCCCATTTGTATATTCCTTTTTGATCCGTCAAAAAAAAAACATAAACAATAAGTATAAACATAAACATTTCATTGTCCTTGTTTCCTTGCATAGATTAATGCGGTTGGAAATGGGTATTAAACAAGGACAAGCATGCAAAAACCGGTTGCATGGGAAAAAAAAAAGATTTTCCAGGCCATGGCCAGCTCCAGATATAAGGCCATACGGCTCAAACGAGAATTCGCGTTTTTGTGAGGCTCGCGTGGCCGGTCAGTGGTAACAATTGGTATCGAGTAGATTTATACACAAATTGAACTAGTTTAATTAATTTGCCGCATGTGTTATTGAATGAATTAATATTTTAAAGATAAATATTTTTTAATTGCCTATTCATTTATTTTAATTTTTTTTTTTAATTTAATGTATAGGTATTTTTTAATGACAAATTCTTTACTTCCTTTTCTGCTTTTTTTGTGTTTGTTGTTCGCAGAGTATAATTTTGAAATAATTAAACACATTTTCAGCTGGATTATCATAATTATAATTGTTGCTGTTGTTGTGGTTGCTGTGTTTTTTGTTGTTGTTGTTGCTGTTCTTCTTCTTCTTCTTCTTCTTCTTCTTCTTCTTCTTCTTCTTCTTCTTCTTCTTCTTCTTCTTCTTCTTCTTCTTCTTCTTCTTCTTCTTCTTCTTCTTCTTCTTCTTCTTCTTCTTCTTCTTCTTCTTCTTCTTTTTCTTCTTCTTCTTCCTTTTTGCCTTCTTCTTCTTCCTCTTTGTCTTCTTTTTCTTTTTCTTCTTCTTTTCTCTTCTGCTTTTTCTTCTTCTTCTTTTTCTTCTTTTTCTTATTCTTCTGTTGCTGCTGCTGCTCTTCTTCTTCCTCCTCCTCTTCTTTTTCTTTTTTTTTTCTTCTTCTTCTTCTACTCTATACATTCTCCTCTATCTCCTCGTCTTCTGTGTGACCTTATCTTCCTTTATCATCCTTATTATTATCATCATCTATATTTTCACCTTCTCAAATCGTCATCTATATCTCTGCTCTTCTTTCTTTTTTTTTTTCAATTTTTTTGCTTATCATCTTCCCGCCAGTCATATTGATGTCCATTTTGTTGTTGTTGTTGGCACCCTTCCATCTTTCCAGACGATAGTTTTATATTGCGCTATGAGGAGGCATGGGACTCACAGCCCATGGCGATGGCGAGTGTGAGTAGCAAGACCCGCCCGTGTCAAGAAATGTCTTTCACAATGATAGCATGAGATTTCAGGACTGTTATTGCCAACATATGTGTTCAGTGTGTTTCTTCTCAGACACTCAGCTCTCTTCCTTTCTTCTCATTCCCTTCCTAGTGTGCCCCTTAAACACAACACAGCGCATGACAATTGTTCCCCGTCCCATTAATGGACTAATATATAACTATAACATAACAATCGACCAGATTCCTAACGTGTCCAATTTTCATTTCGCAGCAACCAAGCTTCCAAGACCAGGTAAGACATGCATTTGTTTTTCCCTTTCTAATAGTACAAATAGTCAGTCATTAGTGACCGTTACCTTCTCCTTCCCTTCACTCCCCAGTGGAGCATAGGCCCTCAACCAACTCATGCAAAGTCATCCTATCTTTCGTTAATGCATGCAGCTCACCAAATTTACCCCTAACATTTTTAACTTCACTGTACCTGTTAGCAGTTATATTTTATTCATCAGCACTTAGCAGGTCCTTTGCAGAACATCTCCTTCATCAGGTTCTGCCTGAGAGAAACTCGGTCTCTCACCAGCTTTCCCGCCTCCTGTACTTCTATTCCCAAGGTGTCAATTAAATGATGTGCCCATTTTTGTGCTGGTCGGTCCCTGCCCCTCGTTCCTGGTAAAGTGAAGATCCCTTTTCACGCCTTGGGCGCATTTGGCATTTGGGAAGAGCACACCGTATTTTTACAGACCAATCGGCACTTGGTGGGTAATGTGGTCAGCATTACGCCGGCCATCTTTACTTCCCCACGACATACATCCAGGTACCCATTTTAGGCTGGGTAGACCTGCGACGCCCTATAATTTGATACAAATCCACGCAGCCAACAGGGGGTTTCGATCGTAGTACGTTGGAATTACGAGTTGGACTCGCAATGCCTTAGCCACCGACGCCGCTTCTCTTTCATGGTACTGTTCTAATTTTTTTTTATTTTTTTTTTTTATTGTATACAAAAACACTAAACCACCAGACTGGCAGACAGACATACACATGTATGCATACATAGAATCTCTGACGCTAACACGATTACGTGACTGAGAAGTTAAGCTTGGTGAAGCAAATTTTTACCGTCTTCGAGGTCAACACAGTAGATACTTTAACCAAGAACCACCTTCTCACGGGAACCGTCAGTAGAGGTACCTTGGAATGGCTGCTGCATCGGATAACTGAGCACGCATTGGAATGCCCATAGGGCGAAGACGTCGATTGTGATAACATATACACAGAGAGAGAGAGAGAGAGAGAGAGAGAGAGAGAGAGAGAGAGAGAGAGAGAGAGAGAGAGAGAGAGAGAGAGAGAGAGAGAGAGAGCGAGAGCAAGAAAGAGAGAAAGACAGACTGACTGACAGAGAGATAGAGAGACAGAAGGCATATACTATGACCTAAAGTATCGCCTAACATTTGAAATTTGTTAATGTTTTGTTTTTCCGCCTTTGAATGTTTGACATTTACTGTGATGAAGCTGTTTTGTTTGACCATGCAATGGTTCTCACAATTGCAGATCCTGAACCCCCAAGGTGTACAGACACGGAGGTCCCGCCTTGCGACCAGATTTGTACCAACACTGAAACTGGATTCGAGTGTTCCTGTAACACAGGCTACCTGGTTAATAAACAGAACAAGTCGAAATGTGACGGTAGGGGAAGCTACATAGTCTAGTTATCTTCTACAGACTCTGGTCTAATTATCTACGGTTTAGAGTATTGTTATCTTCTACAGACTCTGGTCTAATTATCTACTGTTTCGAGTATTGTTATCTTCTACGTACTCTAGGCTAAGTATCTACTGTCTCCTGTCTAGTTATTATCTACGCAGTGTAGTCTAATTATTTACAGTCTAGAGTCTATTTATTTTCTACGCACTCTAGTCTAATAATCGATAGTCACCTGCCATAGCAAATCTGTCAGTTATACACACGCATTAACTGCATAAGACAGTATTTAAAATTACAAACAAAAACAGTCCAACACTAGAAAGACAGTTCGTCGTTGATGAAAGCAGCAGTTATAAGACATCAGTAGTTGCACACGCAACTAATAGCATGGGACACCAAGAGTTCTGTGTTAACAGGCAACTCGCCATTTGCTGAATCTTTGGTTCACAACAGAAACCACACGGGGCACAATTAAAAAGCATGCCAAATTAAATAAAATCCGTAGCTCACAGTGTCATGCCCTGCTTTTAGTCATGGCCAAACTACATCAGCTGCCAGTAGGATGGCAGAACTATATCCTTCCAGTCTGTAATAAAGTTGTTTGCACTATCGGTGATTGCCACAGCTCTACTTGTGAAATTGTTGTATTTACCTGGGTCTTGCACACGTTCTACTGTCTCTGGATTATAACACACAAATGACGCTCAGTTTCCAATGTGCCAGCTATCAGTTTATTCTTTCACATTCTATGATACATGCTGACGATTGTTCACGCATCCATATCTTCCAACCGACTATTAACACTACTCATCCACATAACATAAAACTACTAATCTTCTAACAAGACAAATGACTTCCTTGAATTCTCTGAATTGACTGACCACGCGTCTAGCTTGGGCCTGCCCATGTCTACTTAACTGGCCCCAAGTATCCCGTGCGGTCACTCGGTGTCCGGGTTTCCCGCCTGGTTCGCTATATGCGTGGAGAGCATGCGAATCACCTCGTCACACAGTCTATATATATAGGAAAAGGCATGTTTAACTATTGTCAGAAACAAATTACTTGCCATGACTAAAAAGACTTACCATCCTTTCAAATTGACCACGTTTTTTGTTTCGTTTTTGTTTTGTTGGTCTATCTTTTTGATATCTTTTTAATATCATGATTTTGAACAAAGAAGACACAAACATTAGATTGCAGAATTTATTGCCTGGCATATTTCGTTGTGTCTCGTCAGGTGATTCTGACAGTAACAATTACATAAATGAAGCAAATAAGTGAATCCTTTATAACTGAAGTACAATTTCAACAGCGATCAAACATGGCTGCCTGTTTTCTCCAGGGCAGACGTAAAGAAAGAACCATCTCTTTCAGAATACAGAGTTCCGGGCGCAGGTAACGAATCGCCGAAGCTTCGAGAAATCTTAGCGTTCTGCCATTGGTTGACGTATGAACGATTTGAAATGTGTTATTTTTAGTCATCACGTGTCCAGATTTACAACGTGTTCAAATTAACAACAGGGAAACATTGCTTTGAATATCATGATTGTTTCAAAGAATCAGAAAGTATTGTGAACGGAGGTGACAGGTTCAATTCCCGGCACGGTAACTATAGCTTTCGATTTTTATGTTGTCTAGTGTGTTCTTCTATCTTTCTACTTCTTTCTATGAGTGCCGTTCACAATACTTTCTGTTACTTGATTAATTCATAATATTTAACGGCTTCAAATGGTTCCCCTCTCTGTTTATTTGTTTCAAAGAAGCTAACAGAGACTTCCAATGTTCGCAGATAAAAACGAATGTACTGACGGAAGGCTTTGCGAGCAGATCTGTGAAAACACGGTGGGGAGCTACCAGTGTCTGTGTGAGAAGGGCTTCATTGTCAGTTCCATAGATCCTTCTAAATGTCCGGGTAAGGAATTGTGATTGTGGTCATTACTGCCCTCTCGTCATTATTACCATCATCAACACGTTGATTGTCCTTATTATTATTATCTATGAGCCATCCGGAAGAAAACGTACCCTTATGTTTTTATAGCATTGGTAGTTTAAGTAACAAATGTTTGGCACGAAAAGAGTTCAGTAACTAACTAACTAAACTAAAAAAAAACTAAGTTAAAAAAATAAAAAAGAACTAAACTAAACTAACTAACCACTAAGTAAACTAACTAACTAAACCAATTTAATTCCCTAACTGAACTAAACAAAATAGTCAAACTAACTAAAATAAACTTACTAACTAAACTAACCAACATAGCTAACTAAACTAGCTGAACTAACTAAACTCACGAACTAAACTAGCAAACATAGCTAACTAAACTAGCTGTAGTAATTAAACTCACTAACTAAAAGAACCAACATAGCTAACTAAACTAGTTAAACTAACTAGGCTTACTAACTAAACTTACTAACATAGCTAACTAACAAGCTAAACATAACTAAGCTCAGTAACTAAACTAACCAACATAGCTAACTAAACTAGCTAAACTTACCTAAGCTCACTAACTCAGCTAACAAATATAGCTAACATAACTAACTACGTCTTCTTTACGTCCTCTTTTACCATTTCAGGTGTCGAGGAAGATCTAAGATCCTTCTTCTAGCTCTTCTGACTGCTTCAGCCTTAGACATAGGCCAAACTAAACTAGCGAAACTAACTATCTAAAGTAAACTCCCTAACTAATTAACTAAAATAAATAATTAACTCAACTAAGGTAACTAACTAATCTATCTAAACTAACTAAGAAACTAAACCTTACTAACTAAACTAACAAACTAACAAGGCAAACTAAACTCCCTAACTAAATTAAACAAATATACTAACAAACTAACTAACTAAACTAACCAACTAAACAAACAAACTAAACTAAAAAACAAACTTAACTAACTGACTAAACTAATTAACAAAACCAATTAAGATAATTAAGTAAACTAACCAAATTACCTAAACTAAATAAATTAAACTAAATAATTAAACTAAGCTAACTAACTAAACTAACTAACCCACTAAGTCAACTAACCAGACCGACTAAAAAATTATGTCTGTATATGTATTATTTAGATAAATACATAGATATATGGTGCACAAAACGTGTGTCTGTTCACGGCCTTCTCTATCAGAGAAGGCGTTGGTCTGATTGATATGAAGACTCCGCCTATAGCTACATGTGTTGTAATGGTCATCTTCTCAAGCTGGACATCACTGTGATCCCCAGATATCGACGAATGTGAGACTGACCCCTGCCAAAACACATGCACTAACACTGTAGGCAGCTACCGGTGCACATGCAACGACGGTTATCAAGTCAGCCCCACCGACCCTGCCATATGTATAGGTGAGTGCTCTTTACTCTTTTAAAGTCCCGGTGTTGTCACGTCTGTCGCTTATGTGTTTGCGAACGCGCTTTGTAACGCTGGGGTGCCGGGCTCGATCCCAGCTGCGAGCAATTTAGCAGCACTACTGGAGACAACATAGCGGATACACATAATCTATTTCAAGCGAACGAAAGAAAAAGAAGAAAAAAAGAAGAAGAAGAAGAAGACGAAAAAGAAGAAGAAGAAGAAGAAGAAGAAGAAGAAGAAGAAGAAGAAGAAGAAGAAGAAGAAGAAGAAGAAGAAGAAGAAAAACTGACACAGCAACGAATCATTTGTGTGGAGTCATGTCTGCACTGAAGTTGGATCGACAAATAACTCACTCGCGACCTTACTGCCTGATTAACTTACTAACCAACTAACCGCCTAACTAACCAACTAACTCAGTCATCATTAATTTCTTCTTATAGCGTAAGCGGTGTCGGGAGGAACAGTTTGCAATCCATTGCTTGATAGGGAACATTGGCCATTATCATTTAATGTCAATGCAAAAGCCCTTTAATATCATCTTATGTTCATCTAGGGCGGCTTCTTGTTTTGTCTTCATATCTTTTCCTGTGTCGCGCCTGCGTTTCTAGTTTTCCCGTCTGCATCCTTACTGGATGTGCATATCATTTGATCTTCTGTTTCTCAATAAATTTGCTGCATGATGTTGTCCCCACAGTGTGTCTGATAATATAATTTCCAACGTTGTCTCGGATGGTTTAGTTGGCGGCTTTTCTCGGGGATCTCATTTCACAGATATCAATGGTACGTAGATTAGTCTTTGATTATGTCCACGTATGGCACTGGTAGCACAGTGTTGGTATGAATATGTTATATATAAACTAACTTTGATGCAAAGTTAAATTATTTGCCTTTTTTTTTTTTTCTCAGACATCGATGAGTGCAAAGAATCATCACCTTGTCAACAAATTTGCAATAACACAGAAGGTAGCTATACCTGCGGCTGTAAACCTGGCTTTGTTGTCAGTCCAACTGACGCAACCAAATGCGACGGTAATTAGCATTTTTTTAAATATATCACTTGTGTCACCCGAGTGAGTTCCGTGGCCCTATTTTTGTTAAATGATTTTGTGTATTCGTGTGCTTTCATTTCATTTATGTATGTGCTGATGAATGCTTTCTAGCCTCAACATTCACTTATCAACTGTGTTTGAGGAGGCAAAGGCATACTGCTAATAATTCTTTGATTTGATTTGATTCAACAACCGACAGCTCAGCACTCGGGACATTCACACAAGCGTTCGGGTCCCATCTTCAGCAGCCATCTCAGAGTTGCAATACTAATGGTACCATTACCAGTCTGATTATATGTCCGTTTTGCATTTCCCCTGAGCGTGGACCAGAGTCCCTCTTTACTCCCAGTTGCATCACTTTCACCAGACTGTGATGATCAATTTGCTGTTCCGAATTATAACGTGCTCCCATGAGGCCTTAACCGCATCTGCCTTGGCATGTATCAGTATTCCACCAAGTCGTGCAGAGCCAGCCAGTTTACAGCCTGTTCATTTCCCAACATACCGACATAGCCCAGAGATCGGATCCAAGCAATGTCTTTAATACACAAGAAATAAAACATATATTTGTGTTGACCAATCTCCTTCACAAGGATTTGAACCCATGACCTTTAGGCGGGCTGGCGGGGCTTCTAGCCACTACCCTATAGCAGTTCCCACTTACTGTTTTAATAAAGCCTAAAGTCAGTGGCTTTATAGAGGCGATTTTATAAACTAGCGATGAGAACACACTGGACAGATAAACAAATAACATAAAATATGCTAAGGTAATTTCAGAAATACAATGATTTGAACTTAATTTAGATAGTACTTATAGATTGAAGATTATAGATTGTAGATGATAGACTGTAGATTATATATTTTAGATTACAGATTGAGTTGAAGTAAAAGGAAAAAGAGTGACTGAAAGAGGTGGAGAAAATTAGAAAAGAAGAGAGAGTTAGAAAATAACAGAAACACTGCAGGAGAAAGAAAGAGAAGAGAGAGAGAGAGAGAGAGAGAGAGAGAGAGGGGGGGGGGGGGGACAGAGCTGTGACAGTGAAACATATGACGGAAGAAATAAAATAAATAAATACGTGTAATTTCATATATAAAGATGCCAATGAAATAATTTGTCTTTTTCGACAGATGTCGACGAATGCAAAGAATCCAGCCCCTGTGAACAAACCTGCACAAACACAGATGGTAGCTTCACCTGCTCCTGTAAACCTGGCTTTGTGGTCAGTCTAACTGACCCAACTAAATGTCCCGGTAATAATGACTTTCTCTTGGTTATAAAAGTGATATTAGATAGAGGAACCATTTTCTAAATGAGCTGGACGATAAACTGACCAAAGAGGAAACACAGGGAAAACAGGACCTCCATCCCATTTCGCTACAAGCAATGAAGACACTGATCACGGAGAAAAACAAAAACTTGCTATCCTCCGACTAACGGTCGGCAAAGATGGCGGCCGCAAAATATCCTTTCAAGCCAGAGTCGCGTGTCAATTGAGCACTAGCGGTCACGAGCACACCGCGGCTGCTGCTCGTGGGTCCTAGGCATCTAGTTTAGCCCCATTCCATGCCGCGTGAGCGGCGTGGGGGAACACAGGCGGTGGTGATAGTCGCCGGAAAACCGCCGGAGAACCGCAAATTAAGTCACGCGACTCTGGCTCGAAAGGATATTTTTGCGGCCGCCATCTTTGCCGACCGTTAGTCGGAGGATAGCCCAAAAACTGCTAGCGACAGTGAACAAACAGCAGTCACTCCTACAACCCATTTAACAGTCTAGTTCACGTTTCCATGCCCATCTACACACTGGCTGACTTTTCATTCATACTTTCCCAGACTCTTCTACGTCGGAGCAGGGTCACGTTGTCTTCCCTCCAATTACATCAGCGCCGTTATTGCGAGTTCCTACATACACGATGACACAGCTTTCAACGAGACCCGAGAACTCTGTATTCAGAGATTTAGTGTTAAGAGGCAAAAGAAGTTCTTGACGTTTGGTGCAGGAGAAGTTGGCATATAATATCACAACATCTAGTTTAAGAATGGAGGTGAAGGCGGTCACTTCAGCATTCCCCTGACTAGAGAACACGGTACAAACAGACATAGTGATTGTAACTGACTCAGAAAGCATACTAGAGAAGGCGAAGACTGGCTTGCTTTGTGCAGAGTGGCATGCACGGGCGAAGAGCATTCTCTTGATCTTTTCTTTCGGGTCACACCAGTGTGTTAGGAAATGAACAGGCGGATAGAGTGGCTGGCTTTGCACAACTTGGTGAAATACTGATGCATGATAAGGCAGACATCGTTGAGGCCCTATGGGAGCTCATGAGGAGCCAATGGATCTTCACAGTTGGGTGAGAGTGATGCAGTGAGAAGTTAAGAGAGGATCTAGCTTATACTCAACGCTCACAGGAGAGGCAAGACCAACAAATAATCAAACTGCTACTTTCACCATTTGTAATGAAACGATTCGATGGCTGCTGAAGATGGGAACGAAGCGCTTTATGGGAAAGCCGCGAGTGCTGTGATGTCAGTTCTTGAATCATCTCAACTAAATTTATATTAATCATTGTAAAACTGTTGACGACAACAATTTTAACTAGACAAAAACTTCATGAAACTCTACTCCTGGTGATACCAAAGATGGTTTCAATGTTTATCCCGACTTCGAAAGTTGTCGACGAATGCAAAGAATCAAGTCCCTGTGAACAAACTTGCACAAACACAGTTGGTAGCGACACCTGCTCCTGTAAACCTGACTATGTGGTCAGTCCAACAGACCCAACTAAATGTGGCGGTAATAATCCCTCTCTTTACGATTCTTCTTCTTCTTTTGTCTCACGATTATAACAGAAAGCGTCACAGAGAAGAGTTCTAAATAGTTTCTTGTGTTTTGCTAATGTGTCAAAAGTTAGCTGCGTATCCTTTACAAGCTCTTGCAGAACTAACCCCAGCATTATTTGGCTGTTGTGGTTTATCTAGGCAAATTTACATGCAGTAGTTTGCCATTGCTTGCTTGATTTTTTGGTTTTTTGATGCCACGGTCCAAACAAACGCAAGGCGGTCAGCGGTCAAATCGCCCGCAGCTAGGATCGAACCCGGTACCCCTGTATTAAGAAATGCATTTTCGGGCTAATCGTAAGGCTTATGGTAACGTCATATCGCGTTTCTTTAGTGTCTCTTTTACTCTATCCACCCGTATCTTCCTATGTCTGCTTTTTGCCTTGCAGCTTGCTCTTGTCACATAGTACACTGTTGCTGCCGGCTGGTTTATTTTCATTCTGACCACATGACCAAAACATTTCATTCTTGGATAATCTGTTAAACCATTTACCGATACTGTGAGCACCATTGTTCTTAGCTCTTCGTTGGTGTCTGCTTTTTTTTTTTTGGGGGGGGGGGGGTTATCTCACGTTACACTTTTGCGCTGATACTTTTCTAGGATTGTATGTGTCTGGTATTGATAGCATTAAGTTAGTAAGAATAGAGCATTTATCAGCTTCTTGAGTGTGTGTGTGGGTGTGTGTGTGTGTGTCTGCGCGAATCTTGATATTTTGATGCATTACAAGTGGATTTGTTTCCTTTTATGTTGTTGGCGATCGGGGGTCGCGTTAGCGCAGTCTATGGGATACTCGCTTTCAAATCCAACTGCGACTCGCTGCAGCCCACGCTCGCTGTTCAAAACCGGACAGTTCCTGGGGTTCACCCAGCGCCTAGGTAATGGGGTAAATGGAGGAATGTCGCTGTAGCTACAGAGTTTCGTGTGGACGGCGACTCAGGCAGAAAGTTACTTATCGGATGTCCGTACTGGTGGCATAGCACTTATAGTTTATAACCGTGTGCAATGACACTGGTTCACATAAGGTTCAAGCGCGACAGTGGTGCCGAGAGCTGACTGTTTAGATAGCAATGGCAAACTACTAAACGTTAAAACAGCAACAGCTCAAAACAATGCTGGGGTATGGTTTTGCAACGTAATGTAAAGGAAATGAAACTAAATGTAAAGCCTCGTTGTAAAACAGCCTATAGATCAAACATTTGGCACTGCTGTACCAAATACATGTGTCCAACTTTTACAATTGTCGATAAAGGCTGCTGGCGAAACCTCTGACTATTCTCCTTCTTTTCTCTTTTTTTTTAAACCTCTTCACGCCTTTTTCAAACATTCAGAGTTTTCGAGTTCTTTATAAAAACTCTTCGATAAAATGCATTTGCTGGTGATGTCAAATGTTGTATTAATGTTTTTCTCGACTTCGACAGATGTCGACGAGTGCAAAGAATCCAGCCCCTGTGAACAAACCTGCACGAACACAGTTGGTAGCTTCACCTGCTCATGTAAACCTGGCTTTGTGGTCAGTCCAACTGACCCAACCAAATGTCCCGGTAATTATCATCACTCTCTTGACCTTTGATTGCAGTTTTCAGTTTGTACAGTACACGTTTGTTGCTTGGGCGACCGACGTTTTTTGTATTAGTGAAAGTATTATTATGTGACAGCTGTTTATATGGGTTCCATAATTTTAGGGCAGATTGGGAAATACTACTCCCCCCCCCCCTTTTTCCCCCTTTTTGGCCCCATAAAATGCATGCCGTGAAATGTGACTACTTGGGAAATTGCTGAATTCGGATATTTTTTAACGAAAGGGGAAATATCGCAGCCTACGTGTAAACCACAATATGATGTCCAAACCGCCATTTTAGGGCCAAATTTAGGTGAAGGAAGATAAGGAGGAGGAAAAGAAAGGAGAGGAAGAAGAAGAAGTGGTAGTAGTAGTAGTGGTAGTGGTGGTGGTGGTAGTAGTATAGTAGTAGTAGTAGTAGTAGTAGTAGTAGTAGTAGTAGTAGTAGTAGTAGTAGTAGTAGTAGTAGTAGTTGTTGTTGTTGTTGTTGTTGTTGTTGTACTAGTAGTAGTAGTGGTTGTTGTTGTTATTTCTGTTTTTGAAGCCTCAGCAACAATAGCAGTACTAGCAGTAGCAGTAGCATATGGATTATGTGTTGTGTATGATGATAAGCTTCGGATCTCCAATAATAAAATGCCAACGACAGTACTATGTATTTTGCGGCCAACATTCAGTGTGATAGTGGCACACACTAATGGTTATATCCGCTTAATCTTTCAATGTGAAGATGCCATATAGCGGCTACATTACCGTTGTAAAACAGCCACTCGATCAAACAGTTGTCCCAATCAGAAAATGTGCAACTTTCGCAAACATCACCTCCTTCAGAAAGAAAAAAAAACTGTCTTCTTCTTCTTCTTTTCTTCCACCTTTTACCTCAGTGAAGTTTGTGGGGGAGATGTAACGTAAGTTGATGAGCTCTGTCAAGAGCACTATTAAAACTGATGTTTATTTCTGTAAGGTTGTTATAAATGCGGAAAAAAAATTCCCGGTATGAAAAATCAACTTCTGTCCTGTTTATTTTTATCAATAAAGGCCGCTTCACAAAACGTCTGTTTATTCCTATTTTCTTTTTTAAACCCCTTCACACTTTCGTCAATCATTCAGAGTTATCGAGTTCTTTAGAAAACTTTCGATAAAATACATTTGCTGGTGATATCAACGATTGTTTCAATGTTTTTCTCGACTTCGACAGATGTTGACGAGTGCAAAGAATCCAGCCCCTGTGAACAAACTTGCACAAACACAGTTGGTAGTTTCACCTGTTCGTGTAAACCTGGCTTTGTGGTCAGTCCAACTGACCCAACCAAATGTCCCGGTAATTTTTTTTTTTATTGTTTTAACTAATCAAATTATTTCAAAAATAATATTCATCTGAGTTCCGTGGCCCTGTTTTGGATTTAAGGAGAAAAGGCTTACTGCCCTCTAACAAGCATGTCATAATAGGCTACTAATTATTAATTTGCTGAAATTGGATGTGTTGCCCTGAATGGCAGCTATAGAATTCTAGCTGTAAACACAAACTAGCACGAAAGCCGTTCTTTTAAGGGCGATAACAAATTGGAGGTTGAAAGGGATTAGAAGAAGAAGGGAGGAAAAGAAAAAAAAAAGACAAAGCAAATGAAGTCGCCGGATCAAAGGAGCTCGTGCTCTGCGCTGCGCTATCGGCAGGTGGCTAGCGGGTCTGCGGAGAGAGACCGAGCCATGTGGGATCAAACCCGGTGAATTGAAGTCGATTCTCTCGACCTAAACCTTTATCATGTTTCTTCATAAGTGCCATTTACTTTCTTTATGAATAGATTGTCATGTGTTTTAATAATAATTATTATTATTGTTATTATTATTATTATTGGAGAGCCGCCGTAGTCTTCTTACCGAGAATGTTCTTTATCAGTGTTAGAATCTTCACTTAGAAATTATTCTTTTTTCACCGGTTTGGCTTAGAAATTGACCAAACGTCAGGAAAAAAAAACTAATTAATAAATACAGTAATATAGGATGGGGGGGGGGGGGGGGGGGGCATGGGGCAACTGGGGTGAATGAAGCGAAATGAAGCGATTAAAAAAAACATTGGTCATCAGATGTCTCTGTGTTGTCATCATCATCATGATCATTATCATGTAGCAGGTCCTGCTGAACGTCATTCATCAGGGTTTGCCCCAAAGAATCTCGGTCTCTCGAGAGCTCTCCCGTCTAGCGCACTTTCACATCCACAGAGACACTTATATCCGGTGTTCATTCTCGTGTTGGTCAACCCACGGCCAACTCTAGATATAAATATACAGCCGGACGTGTTGGTCAACCCACGGCCAACTCTAGATATAAATATATAGCCGGACGTGTTGGTCAACCCACGGCCAACTCTAGATATAAATATATAGCCGGACGTGTTGGTCAACCCACGGCCAACTCTAGATATAAATATACAGCCGGACGTGTTGGTCATCCCGCGGCCAACTATAGATACAAATATACAGCCGGACGTGTTGGTCAACCCACGGCCAACTCTAGATATAAATATACAGCCGGACGTGTTGGTCAACTCACGGCCAACTCTAGATATAAATATACAGCCGGACGTGTTGGTCATCCCGCGGCCAACTATAGATACAAATATACAGCCGGACGTGTTGGTCAACCCTTTCCCCTCCTTCCTGACGCCATGCCTTCTGCTATTATTTTTTTTTCTAATCCATTGTGGCTTTTCATGTGGTCCAAATATTTTAGCATCCGAGACAAGATGCTGTTTATTAGCCAAACTTTCTTGAAGTTCAGATCTTTTAGAAAGATGGTATTTCTTCTCTACTTTCGGTGTCCGTGGTATTCTGAGAATCTTTCTATAGTATTAAAGCTCTAAAGCCACTATTTTCTTCCATAGGGACTGGGAGATAGTTCACAACTCACATTCGTATGTTTCCGAAATAGTTTTCTTGGATCTTCTTCTTCTTCGCATTCACCAGCTGTAAACTCTAGCGGAAAGTTCTGGTTGTTCGTCCACTTCTAGACTGCAGTCCTGTTCCAGAACTTGAGTGTTATGTGTGCATCTGTTTGACAGATCAGACTAATTTGTGTGCAGACTGTTGGTTTCTTGCCTCTCAGGCAGATACACTGCGACTTTAAAGGAAGCTCCCAATTAATCGAGTCTCATGACATGCTATAGGGTAGGCAGTGGGTCTGTGTGTGTTTTTTTTTTCCCCTTGAACAGGGCCCCGGAACCCACACGAGGAATCGTTTGGGATGCTTATGTGGTACTTTCCTCTGTGATGTAGTTGTGAAGATATGGAGGTGTGACAGTTCATATACCTAACGACAATTTCCGTAGCTGGACTGTGTGCATGTGACTCCCGATTTAACCAACAAAGAATATACTTATTCTTTTCCATGTGTGGTTGTGTTGTGTGATCTGCAGACGTTGACGAGTGCAAAGAATCCAGCTCCTGTGAACAAACCTGCACAAACACCGTTGGTAGCTTCATCTGTTCGTGTAAACCTGGCTATGTTGTCAGTCCAACAGACCCAACCAAGTGTGACGGTAAATATCTCCCTGTTTTTAGTTTAAAAGCGACAATAGATTCTATGCATTCTTTCTGCATCGACTAAGGTGGCACAAAGAACTGTGAGGTGCTATTTAAATCGTGAACATTTTTTTTTTTGGGGCGACTGACTTTCTACCCCACCAAGACATCACACAAGCGATAAACACCCGATGACACAAAGTGCCACTTTGTGGATGAGGATCGCCGTGGAGAGGTCCCAAAAACCGCGTTCAGACAATTGGCCATATTTATGGCCTGCCTATATTGCAGCCCCTGGCAAAAACCAGGGTGGGGCTTCAAATAACAAAAAATTTCGTCCTGAAAAGGGCAAAATTATAATGTATTTTTTTTTTTTGGGGGGGGGGGGTGAGGAAAGAGACATGGCTGTATTCTTTCTCCGTCCATTTTTAACATATGCTAGGTCTGACAAATAAGTAATGAGACAAATTCCATAAACTTTAAAATAATCAACAGTGGCGAATGTAACCTGTATTTTACTCAAAGTTAGTCCTTTGTGCATTGATACATTCTATGACACGATCTAACAAACACGGGAACGACCTCTGTAGTTTTTTTCTGTTGTTATAGCCCTTAAAGTCAATGTTATGGCCCTATGTATAGCATTAAAATCGTTTCAATTGTAACTTTAATTTTAGGAACAGAAAAATAGACACACCTATAATAACCTGGGGGAATAAGAACATACACTTGTTTTGAGATGACATATTCCTTGCATAGGTGCCGTGGCCAGTGCATTCTCATGAAAAAGGGAAAAAATTGCCAGTTGTTGAATACTCGGGTTTCAAAATACAAGGTCCGACAGTTAAGTAATAATACTAATTCCGTAACAATTACAATAATCAACAGTTTAATATATAACCTATATTGTATTTAAAGTAAGCCCCTTGTGCATTGATACAGTGTGTGGCACGAACTAAAAAACACTAGAACGATCTCTATAATTCTTCTGTTGTTACGGCCCTTAAAGTCGACGTTACGGCCCTTTGAATGTCATTAATATCATCAAATAGGCGTCCTTTCAAAGTAACTTTAATTTTAAGAATTAAAAAAAATAATCACAGGAAGACAAAACTGGGGAATAGAGTAGATGGTTGAGAACACACATGCGTTTTAGGGCCAAAAAAAAGCACACAATATTGCTGATTTCGTTACAATGCACCTCTGACGAGGTCAACGAAATGGCGGCTTATTTCTTGTTGCTTATCGGGCGGCGATGACAAGTTGCCAGATCATAGACGAAGGTTGCCTCTTTGGATTCCATGCTTTGCTTCATAGATGGCATTTTTGTCTTGGCCATAATTCAATTAGTCACAATACTGAATTGTCAGACCTTGCACTTAAATAAACTGTGGATGTGACAGTCTGTCCCACTGGAATAAATTCTTTGTGAATAACTCCTTTGCTACTGTAGAAACACACCAACATTGTCCTCACTTTCGACTTTCGAAGACAATTGTTTTTTACCTTGTGGTGATGAAGAAGACTTCCACTGAGTATTTTGGCGTTTAGTTGTGGGATCATAGGGGAAAATCCATGTTTCATCCTCTGCAACAATCTAATTTAATAAATTTTTTTTCTATTTCTGTAACATGTTTTATATTGTCTTTTGCGTACTAAAGACTGATGATTTTGGTCTTCAGACAACAAATGTGGTACAAACCGGCAAGCAACTTTTTTCTTGCCCAAATCTGTCATTAAAATGTTAAGAAGGGTCTACCTATTAACACCAAATTCATCTTGGCTGGAAGTGTGACAGATGAGGGAAAATCATGGATCACTTGTAGGATGTTCGAGAACTCGAGACAGAAACAGATTATTTCAATTCGAAATGATCTAGAACAATTGCTCTCAACCTTCATAATGAGCATGGCTCTAACACAGTTTCCCATGCTGTGGCAACCCGTAAACAAACCATTATGATCGCTGTTACTTAATAACTTCAATGAATATGTGCTTTTCGATGGTGTTTGGCAACCTATGTAAAAGGGTCGTTCGATCCACAAAAGGGTCGCGACTCGCAGGTTGAGAACCTCTAGACTAGAGCCTGGGAGAGGCGTTATTGTGTGGAACCTGCAATGGCAGAGATAAACAATTTTTGCTTTTGTTGAAATGTTTTTAAACAGATATCGATGAGTGTCTGGACAAGGAGAACCCTCCATGCCACCACAATTGTACCAACACCGAGGGAAGCTTCACTTGTTCTTGTAGAAAGGGTTACATTCCCAACGACTGTGACCCAAACTCATGCAGAGGTGGAGTATTGGATTATTGTTGCTCTTGTAATCTTTGTTGTTGTTCGTGTTGTTGTCGAGTGGTGTCGGAACCTGGATTTTTATATACTTAAGAGCCTCCCCACCCCCACACCGTTTTTTTTCCTCCAGATTTATTAGGAGGATAAATTCCCCCAACAATATGAGTAGTACAAGAAGAGGTGTACGATTAATACTTGGTTGGGGCTCTGCTAGAGGGGGAAAAAAATAAAAAGTCGACACGTTCAACCAGCCTTCCTGAAGGGGACGCTTTAGGTTATAGTTGTGACTAGGTTATGTGTGCCATATAAAATATCTTAGCATTGCTCGCCACCAAGTAGCTATGAAAAGAACCGCAGTGTTCATGTGCTCGAAGGACACCGACCCAAACACTGTCCCGACTGGCGACGAAGCCGTCTACCGGCGAGCCGATGAGCGACCCTGTCACCGATGAATATTTGGACCCCTTCCCACACCCCAACTCCCCCCCCCCCCCCCCCCCTCACTCCGGGGCCACCTTTTATATAATGGAAAACGAAAGAACCTAGAGGAAACTTCTTCGGCTGCGTTTTCAAGATGGCCGGTATGCAGCGTTGTTAGAAGAATGGGTAGAGAAGCCAGAGGTCGTATCGGCTGATTGTGGGGTCACAGCATATGGTGCCAGACTACAAGAAAATGGACCAGTTTGTTGTTTTATATGGGGGATTAGGGTGTCGTATGGTTGCCCTTCAGCTCTGTGGCTAAGTCGATGCGAACGCTTCGTAATGTCGGGATGCCGGGTTCGATCTCAGCTGCGGGTCACGAGACGTTTCCTTGCGCTGCTGTTGCGTTGTTTAGTGAGGGGTTGTGTCTTCCTAATAGCTGGCATATGTTAGTTTCTCTCTTCTTTTCAATTCTTTGGCTTTCTTGAATTCATCTGCTTGGATGTTCATTAGTTTTTAGTTCATTACTTTTTTAGGCACATTTTTAGTTTTCGTCATGGTCCTTATTACTCTCTAGTTTTTAGAGGCGTGAATTTTAAAGTTACAATAGCCGGGGCATACATAGAATATTATAGTTGGAGGGAGTTCCTTTGAAGTATGATTGCATCTGCTGAAAAGCGAAGAATCAACAGTCTGCATTCACACGAGTAGATCTATAAAAATATCTGCACGCAACACTCAGATTCTGGAACAGCACTAAAGTGCAGAAGTAGACGAACACCCAGAACTTTCCGCCAGAGTTTACAGCTGGTAAACACGAAGAAGAAGCGGAAGAAGGAGCCAGAGCGGTAATGTACACAAGGGAGTTAAATGGCCACTCACCATGAGGCAGACCAAGAGAAAGGTTAAGATTCCAACAGACCTGCAAAAACTTGGAGTCACCTTCTGAAAATAGGCAGGCAGTCATAGAAATCGATTGTCGCAATAAAGTCTGCCGCAAATGAACCTCAAGGGCGCTAAATGCCCTTCTAAGAAGAAGAAGAAGAAGAAGAAGAGAAGAAGAAGAAGAAGAAGAAGAAGAAGAAGAAAGAAGAAGAAAGAAGAAGAAGAAGAAGAAGAAGAAGAAGAAGAAGAAGAAGAAGAAGAAGAAGAAGAAGAAGAAAAAGAAGAAGAAGAAGAAAGCGAAGAAGAAGAAGAAGAAGAAGAAGAAGAAGAAAGAAGAAGAAGAAGAAGAAGAAGAAGAAAAAAAGAAGAAGAAGAAGAAGAAGAGAGAAGAAGAAGAAGAAGAAAGAAGAAGAAGAAGAAGAAGAAGAAGAAGAAGAAGAAGAAAGCGAAGAAGAAGAAAGAAGAAGAAGAAGAAGAAGAAGAGAAGAAGAAGAAGAAGAAGAGAAGAAGAAGAAGAAGAAGAGAAGAAGAAGAAGAAGAAGAAGAAAAAAGAAAGAAGAAGAAGAAAGAAGAAGAAGAAGAAGAAGAAGAAGAAGAAGAAGAAGAAGAAGAAGAAGAAGAAGAACAACAACAACAACAACAACAACAACAACAACAACAACAACAACAACAAGAAAAAGAAGAAGAAGAAGAAAGCGAAGAAGAAGAAGAAGAAAGCGAAGAAGAAGAAGAAGAAGAAGAAGAAGAAGAAGAAGAAGAAGAAGAAGAAGAAGAAGAAGAAGAAGAAGAAGAAGAAGAAGAAGAAGAAGAAGAAGAAGAAGAAGAAGAAGAAGAAGAAGAAGAAGAAGAAGAAGAAGTTAGAATTAAAATGACATTATAATTTGGTTTTAAAAATATATTGTAGAATTCTTTGTTTCTGAAATTTGTCAAGTTGCCTTGAATATGTTTCCAGATGTCAACGAATGTGAAAGAGATCTTTGTGAGAACGACTGCACCAACACACGCGGAGGTTACATATGTTCCTAGTTCCTGGAAGATGTGAAAAAAAAAATATATGAATAAATATATATGATGTAACTAGATCAGTGTCTACAGGCGCGAGGGTCGGGGGTTCAAATCCCAATCGCACCATTTTTCTTTTACCTTGATTACCAGGTCGAACCAGTCTAACATGGGTACCAGGTAAATTCGTGGGAAGTAAATGCAACTGGCGTAATGTTGCAGCAATCCTTTTAAAAAAGGGGAGGGGGTAATTAGAAAAGATTTGAAAAGTGGGTAGATCGAGCTGTGCTAATGTCAGTAGGTTTTTGAAAATGAGAATTAGATCATTTTTACTTGTAATAATCCGTTGTGGGTGGCCTAAGAGAGTTGCATGGGGGAAATATCATCAGTGGAATTGATCCAGAACACCAAAGATCGAGATCTGTGAAGATGCATGATCGCCTACACCAGTTGGCAAAGGCACTTGCTGCTGATGATGATATCTCTTCCCCCGCCGCACACACCCCCCCCCCCCCCCCAGTCAGTTTATCAGTTGATAATAGTCGTCCCTTGTTAGATGAAATTTTTAGTTATGTCGAAGCCCCAACTTTTTTTTTTTTTTTTGCGTAGGGCCCTAAATATAGCCTGGCCTTAAATATGGCCTAACAGGGCTCCCGGTACCTATCCACTGGTGATCCTCATCCGCATGGTGGTACTTTGTGTCACCGGGAGTTTATCGCTTTGTATGATTTTCTGCTGATGTACAACTTACATACTTACATAGTAGTCTGTTTATATATTTTGCAATGGTCTATAGTTAGTTATATATTTTTTCGACTACCGAGTATTATTTTCTTATTTTTCTTTTCATATCTATGTACAAGTACCTAGTATCTTCTCTACTAATTGTTTTATATTTAACTTGTTTTCTTTTTCTTTCAGCCATCAAGCTAGTTCCCTGAACAAAGTTCTATTCCTGTGTGACAATTATTGATTAAAAATATGGGTTAATTTCAGTCGAGCTAATATCAAGAACATAATCCACTTAGCTGACTAAGGAGGTCTTAGGAGGTGAGAAGAGAGAAAACGCACACACAGGAACAACTCGACTTTTCTGCAGCAACCTTTAGAGACAAAAATCACAACAAGGGAAACTATCCTGTCTGATACTCCTAATAGTTCTGTGTTCAAATCCAGAGGGTAGTGGACTTTTTTTTTAATCTTGGCTCCCATGTCGACCCAGCCTGTAATGGGAACCAGATAAATGTTCCGGGAAGTAAAGCGGCCGGCGTGAGGCTGGTCAGATTAACCACCATGTGTCGATTGGTCTATATAAAATTGTCTTGCCCCTATAGACCAATTATCCATGAAAGCGAGAAAAGAGTCCATTTTGCTCCAAATTCTCTCCCCTGGTTGATGGGTTTTTTTTTGTGTGTGAGTGACAAAGGCTGTTGACGATGGTCCCTGTGTGTTTTTTCTTCTTCCCACCCGCTATTAACTTCATAGTCATCGTTCAGTGGATTGAATACTGAAAATAATTGCTTGAAATTTGCTATTTCTAATAATAATAAAAGAAACATTTTTTCAATGTGCAAGGTCATTATTAAATATCAGTAATGTATTAGATTTGCTGAGTTTGTTACTGGCTTTTTGAAAGAAGGTCATGTTTGTGTGTCTTATATAACAAGGTATAATCCAATTTGTCCTTTTTAAGATGAAATTTTTTGTTTAATGAAGCCCCACCCTGGCTTTTGCTAGGGGCCGCAATATAGGCAGGCCATAAATATGGCCAATTGTCTGAACGCGGTTTCTGGGACCTCTCCACTGTGATCCTCATCCACATGGTGGCACCTTGAGTCATCGGGTGTTTATCGCTTGTGTGATGTCCTGGTGGGGTAGAAAGTCAGTCAGCCGTTGTGTGTCTTATTATTTTTTATTAACACATTTGACATAGTTACCTGGCACAGGTAATAAACCTTTACGTCCTTTTTTAGGATGAAATTTGATGTTATTTGAAGCCCCACCCTGGCTTTTGCCAGGGGCAGCAATATAGGCAGGCCATAAATATGACCAATTGTCTGAACGCGGTTTCTGGGACCTCTCCACGGTGATCTCATCCACATGGTGCACCTTGAGTCATCGGGTGTTTATCGCTTGTGTGATGTCCTGGTGGGGTAGAAAGTCAGTCCGTCAGTCTAACACATTTGACAGCCGCCATGTATTAGACGCCCGCCTATGTATCTGAAGGTTGTTGGTTCGGGTCCTCAGGGTGCGGAACTGTTTTTAAAGATGACCTTGACTGCCAAGTCGATCCAGCCTTAAACGGGTATCACGCAGTCAGCGTGATGTTGACCTCATCNGAGCGCGGTTTCTGGACCTCTCCACGGTGATCCTCATCCGCATGGTGGCACTTTGTGTCATCGGGTGTTTATCGCTTGTGTGATGTCCTAGTGGGGTAGAAAGTCAGTCAGTCAGTCAACACATTTGAGAGCCACCTGGTGTAGCTGTTAGACGCCCGCCTATGTATCTCAGGTTTGTTGGTTCGGGTTCTGAGAGTGCGGAACTGTTTTCAAAGATGACCTTGACTCACAAGTCGACCCAGCCTTAAACGAGAATCACGCAGTCGGTGTGATGTTGACCTCCTCACTCACCGAGTGCCTACTGGTCTATAAAATAAAGGACTAGCCCTATATGCCCACTACGCCTGAAGGTGTACGAAAGGGTCCTTCCTTTACTTTTGTAATAACACATTTCCCTAAAGTCCTGAGATCGAACCAATAACAGGTGCTCGGCTTTCAGATCGACCCAGCCTAAAATGATAAGCAGGTAATGTTATGGGAAGGGAAGGCGGCTTATCTAATCAACCGTCGAGTTTGATAGAAAGCAAACAGCAAAGTGATAAATACTTTGACTGGACTATGCAAGTATGAGTATAGAATCATATGAACTATCCACAACTGATGTAACGTTGAACTAGCGAGAAGATTATAAACATTACCGATCATAACATGTAAGACATGGTTGGAAAGATCATCATCATCATTATAATCAATTCTCTTTATGCTTAGTGGCACATGAGGCTTCTGAGAGGACTTTCCATGTTTTCCTGTCCTGTGCAATCTTCAGTGCAGTTTTCCATGTCAAAGATGCCGCACTCAGGTCACTTTCCATCGTTTGTCTCCGTGTTGTTGTTGTTTTTTTTTTTTTTTTGGGGGGGGGGGGGGGTTCTTTCCCTCTGGTATCCACGTGAGAGAGTTTTGGCAGGCATATCAGGATTATTTCTCATTACGTGGCCATTTCATTCTTCTCATGGTTATTGTAGTGAATCTCATTTTCTCCCAGTTAATGTATGCCCGACAGATGACGTCAGTAATAAATGTGAGTGGAATATTTTGACTCTAACTGGGACGGCACGGGAATTGTTAAGTCTGAACTTCACGGGAATTATAAAGAAATGCTGATGGTCAAGCTTTATGTGGAGTATAATTATTCACGTAAAGAGAAAGGTTGAATGCCAAACTTCATGAAGTATGATGCAACACGACTGCCGTGAAACTGAAGAAGCACGGAATATTCAGGGAAAACAAAGCAGGGAGTAGAAGGCTATATAATATCGTGCAAAGGGCTGGGAGTCAGTCTCGTTTGGACCCAGGAACAGGGTGCATGGACAGCGGTGGATGATGTGTGGATTCAGCAGATGTTTTTGAGTGAATTTGTTCCAGTCCAACTTGGCGAAAAAAGCTGGCCAGCAATATGTCTGCAGGTCGTCTGAGTTTGTCTGTCAGGACAGCTGTTGTGTTTCGTTCACGATGTTAGCGTAGGACGATTGTGATTTCTGCTTGAAGGTAATATTTGATACTTGCGTTATAATGTGTGCCTGGACAGTTGTCTATTTCATGCGCCGGCTGTGTAAGCCGCGAGTGGAAGATTAAAGTGCTGGAACAGTATCGTGCTGTTTTTCCAGTCGTCCATTTTCTGCTCGTCGTGTGATGTCGGTTTTGTGAGATGGCAGCGAGCGTGCGATGAGGCGAGCCAGTAGAAGATAAAAGAAAGTCATCGCAGTTATCATACTGTCTAGAATTTCTTGGTTTGTGACCTGAAGTAGTTTAGTGTTTGAGATTGTATCTGAGAATTTTGACAATGAACATCATCAAGTCCCTTGTCGATAGGCGATCATGCCTGTCTACAATCTGCGATCCACATCTGCGAGTTTGTATGTTGACAAATCCTCCAAGCCGAGACAAGCTTCTCACGTTGTCTTTCTATGCATTTCCTTTTCCAGATCTTTCCAGTGGTCACAGCTTCCCTCTTCTCATAACATGGCCATAAAAACATGACTGTCTCTTGTTGGTGTTAGTGATAATTTCTCAGCAAGCCCTCTTTTTTTTTTTCAAACATATGGGTTTCTCTTTTTTGGTTGTCCAAAAAGTCTTTTTAGGGCTATTATTACTAATACTATTATTATTAATACTATGTACACATTTTAAAGACAATATTTATGACAATGGAACACGTGTATGTATGTTTCAGTCCAATCTATTGTATGAGTGATTGTAGTTCAGACCACTGTTTTGTTTCTTTTTTGAAAAGTGAACGTCTTGTTCTACATAAATGTTCTGGGGCATCATTGTCTTCTTCTTCTTCTTCTTCTGTTGTCCTATTGTTCATGGCGTGAAGCGTCGCCGAGAGGAGTTATGTGTAGTTTCCAGTCTTGTATTGATTGTGCAGCTTGTGTTAATGCCATGCTGCGTTTCTTTGGTATCTCTTTTACTCCATCCACCCATCTCTGTCTTGGTCGGCCTCTTGACTGCAGTTCTCATATAGTAGGCTCTAGCTGCTGGCTGATTTGGTTCCATTCTGACGAGATGACCAAACCATTCCTACTGGAACTTTACAGTAGCTGTGGATAAACAATAATAATTAAAATGTTAATATTTTAGTATAAACATCATCATCAGGTGCCTTGCCGATTGGCGTGGGCGATCATGCCTCTCCGTAATCTGCAATCTCCTGCAGCATGTATCAGTTCGTTTGCCGACACACC